CCAAACTGATTCATAGTGTCTATATAGATAATGTTTCATTATTTCCACGTATACCAGATGAACTAGGGTTTCCAATCGTCCCGCAGTTCAGATGTTTTGTTTTACTAGATCAACAAAGACTAGGATAATATCTGTAGTATTGAAATATTGATTTGGAAATCCTAGAACATTTGGCATACACGGAAATAGGTTGGTATGACCCACAAAGACACTGCAAATTTGTTTGGGCAAATTTCGTTATAGATATTGAATTAGTCTTGGGTAACCTAGTTGAAAAATAATCTGATCTCCAAAATGATTTCAGAACCTATAACATCTTTCATACGCAGCAATAGGTCGGGTACAATCCACATAGACACTTTGAATCTGTTTGGACATATTTCGATACTACAGACATTATTGCAGTCTTGGTTGATATAGTAGAACAAATCAACTGAACTCCAGGGCGATTTGGAGAACCTAAAATATCCGGTATACATGGCAATTACTCGCATATATACGATTCGTTTATGATTTGACAACGAAAAATGCTATGTTCATATTGGGAAAAAAAGGAAAATGTCTCACATTGAACAGACCTCAGGAAATTTCCGTGTAAATCAGGTTTGACTTATGGAATTGAGATCATTTTTCGACTATTTGCAGGGTGTTTGGTTTGAACCGGTAAAAATTGAGAGTCAAATAAACAACAACATTGATGACAGCAAAATAATCCGGCACGGAAAGGTTACAATGAATTCCACAATTTTTATGACAGCCTTCGCAATTTTCGCGACATCATTTAATGTTTCCGCGATTTTTGCGACTGAAAGTTCAAATTTGCGACAAATCCGCGAAAATCGCGAAATCCGTGAAATTCGCTAAATCCACGTCTGTTGTTGCAGCCCTGCAAATTTCGCATCTATTTCATGACCACCGAGCATCACCACCCACCCTCCTCCTCTTTCCTCTTCATCACACGCAAAACTTATGTTTTACAGCCCAATTAGAGACATTTCTGATATTCACAGACATTTTTCGCAGACTTCTGAAAAAAAACCCGAATTTATCCACCTATGGTGTGATCAGACCCTTCTTACTTATTCAAGTTTATTTATTTTATTGTCATTATCAGTGACCAAGCCCCCCACCCCCGTGTCATCCAGTGACGCTACGCCACTGCCTGGGGGTACTCGAAATATATCCGGGTGTAGTCTATTTGGTGAGGCTACCAATCACCTTATCATCGTATTTTAATGTGATTTAATGGGTTTTAATTCAATTCATATTCAAGCAACTTCCCCGGGGTACCCGGAACATGTCCAAGTGTGTCCAATGTGGTCTGGAACACTTAACACGACTTGCATTGATCTTATTTTTGAATTCTGTAGTAATTTGATGTGTCGCATGATGGTTTTAATACGTTTTCCGTTAAATCCAGCGTGAAGGCCCATATTCACCGGATCTTATTCCGGCCATATCTCCGGAACCGGTTCACCGATTCCAAAACCGTTCAATAGCGTTCAATGGGACCCCAAGACCTATCATTTGGCGACAAATTTGTCCAAATCGGTTGAGCGGTTGCTGAGAAACGTGAGCGCATTCATTTCGTTACATACACACACACATACACACATACACACATACACACATACACACATACACACATACACACATACACACACACACACTGACATGTTCCGATCTCGTCGAGCTGAATCGAATGGTTTATGACACTCGGCCTTCCGGGCCTCGGATCGATAGTCGGTTTTTCATGTGATATCTGTACCCTTCTTTGTAAGAAGGGTAAAAATCTGGCATCTCTGTTCCCCATCCAAAACGCTCTTGCAGTGTTGGCTTTGAATACAAAGGAAAATCAAACGTATACTGGTAGTATATTCCTAGAGAATTTCCATCGTAATTTAAAAAAAAATAATAATAATGAAAAAGGAATAGTAAGGAGAATTCCAGTTGATTTTTTTAGAGAATCAGTTAATAATTCCCTAACAAGAGATGATTCTAACTAGATTTCCAAAATAATTATGGGACTTATAATTCTAATGAAATTGAAGGGAGAAGGTAGTTCAGAAAAAAAATATTCCAGGGCAATTCTGAAGAATGTTCGATGGTAGTATGATGACGAAGCCTTGAAAATGTTTCTAGATATTAGTAAAGCCCTGGGGGTGCGACACATCCAAATCTCAATTTTAGATGAGCAGTAAATTTCACGTTATCGAATAAATCTACAATAAATCTTCTAAATTCATCTATTCTCAAAGCTCTCCATCTTTTTGTAGGAAATCTTCTTCAATCTTCTTTCTATCTACTAAGCGTGCGCGTATCTCACAACAGCAAAGCGAAATTGTTCCTGCATCTTAGATTGAATCACCCCCCTTGGTAAAGCCTTGGCGGAGCACGTTCCGAAAAGCCCCTGCCATACATAAAGTCCAAAAGTAAAATCCAAAAGTCTCATTATCGTGCCATCGCAAGATCACTCCGCTGTTGTTTGCACAAACAACCATCTCAAATCGGACCCGGATTAGCATTTGCCCAATTGGTGCTGACATAGCGTAAGAAAATCGTAACCGCAACCTCTAAAAAGCATCGCAAACAACAGCACCTCTCACCAAAGAAATACCTAGTCTTGACAACCACAATCACAACAACACTCGAGCAGTCAATCACACAACACTCGTCAGTGGTGGAAATTTCTCGAACGCCCAAAAAAAAAAAAAGTTTAACCGTCGAAGTGAAAAACAACTACCACGTTGGAACCTACCCTTTCGTTCGTTGCGATCGATTCGGTTCCTCGCACGATCACCGTCGAAGAGAATCGTTTTGTCGGTCAATCGTACGGCAACCTTCGTTCGCTTGTTGATCGATTGGTCATCGAGGGGTTCGTTTCGGATCGATTCGGAAATGGATAACACCACTTGGGTTTATTTATTGTTTTCAATATAAAATTTGTATTTTCGTTCATTTTTTTTTCGCCCGGCTCAACAATTCATAGAATCTGGCCGGGTTTGTTTTTTTTCTGGTTTTTGTTTCATCAAAAAAATATTCTCACAAAAAAAAAACATCAGTTACAATATAATCAGATGGCTTTTAAGTAAACTCATGTGAGACAAGGTTTATCAACACAATACAATAGTAGGTTTCTTCTTTCTTTATCATAGGTAGTAGATTTGTAATCATCAGGTTTGCCCTTTCACTTATCATCTTCTTCTTCTTCTTCTTTTGCATTCGTGCATGAATCTTCTTAAAGAGGGTTTGTTAGTGGGTTGAACTTACGAGCTACAAATTTTTGTTCGAAGCTTGCTTCGATTTATCGACATTTAGATTTCACATGGCGCATAATTGCTTTTTTTTTCTTTTCTCTATCTCTCTCACGCGCAAGTAGCGGTAGTAGTGGTAGTAGTAGTTAATGTAGTAGGAGCAGCTAAGTTTGCCTTGGTTCACTTTCGAGCGAGTTGCAATTAGTTTTCGTTTATTTTTTTAGTTTGTTCTTTCAAACTTACAAGCTAGGTTTATTTGTACTTGCTTTTTGTTCTTTTTTTTTTGTTTGTTTATTATATATTCGCACAACAGTACCATTAATAGAATGAAATTTGGATGATGCGGTTACATGAGTGGATGAGTTTTTCGTTTGTTTGCTTGTTCGTTACATATCTTGTATTGCACGGTGAGTGTGCGTGTATGTCTGTTTGTGTGCGAGTAATTTTCTCTCTTTCTGTGTCGAATAACGAGAAGTTTACCTCGACGGAGCACTCTCCAATGTGGTGGGTTTTTTTTTTTGAGCGGGGGAGGGGAAGGGGTTGAGGAGATCTTTCGGATTGACCAACGACTCGACGACCAAAGACCGAAGCGAACGGTGTGCAACGAAAGGGGAAGAGCACAAAGAGGGACGCGGTTTTTCTTTTCTTTTCATCAAATTCGTTGGACACGGGAGAGCGTGAGAGTGCAGCAGCGAATCGGGGTAAAATAAAAGATGCGGTTTTAATTTTTGACTTTTGAGATTTTTTATTGTATTTTTTTCGTATTTTCATTTGGGTTTTCTTTTTTGTTACTTTCATAATACATTTGTGTTTGCTTCCATTATTTCCACAGAAAGAGAAAATATTACTTTTAAAAACGGTGGATTCCTATGTGTTTACTGTTTTCCTTCGTTACCATTGGTTTCGCCTTAATGCATTGTTTTTTCTTTTTCTGTTTGTTACAAATGATATAATAATTAATGTGGTTTTTCATTAGAATTAATAATTATTTGTATTTTTTCTTGCTTGATTACAATTGTTATTCTTACTTTTTCATTTCTTAATTATTATCACTTTTAGATACTATCACTTAATATTTTGTTTTGTATTTTCCTCCTTCCGTTTCTTCCGTTTCTTTCGTCACATTACAAAATCCTCCTCGTTTGCTCTCAACTTTCTGCTCGATCGAAAAAACAAAAAAAAAAACTTATTTTCCTTTTCTTCTGCTCGTTTCCTTCGCTTCATTTGTTAAACGTAGTTACCTAGTGTTTTTCATTTGTTTTTAATTTAAAAACCTAACCTAAAAAACAAAAAAAAAAACTCGCTTTTCGTTTTCGTTTCTTGTTGTGTTGTTTTGTTTTGCTGTTTGTTCGCCGTGCGTTTTCCTCTCGCGATTGATCGACATTTTTTTATTCGGGGGGAACTGGGAACCGTTGGAAAAATCGAAACGCACCGCCTTCGTCGATCGGAACTGCAGCTCGTTTTCGAAATTGTTTTTTTCGTAAGTAATTTCATGTGAGCGCCCTTCAGCGACGATTTGCTGTGTGTTTGGCTAATTCCCGGCCCCAAATTTCGTCATTTTGAATGCGGATTTCGTTAGCGAGAGGCAACCTCTTAACCAAATTCAGTAAAGTTTCATTGGCAATAAAACTTGGAATGAAAATTTGGCTCGAATTTGTTGTTTGATGTTTTGTTCAGGTTTTGAAGATCAAAACCAAACGAAATGGGGTTCCTTCTCCGGTGTTTGTTGTTGTTGTTGTTGTTGTATGGGAGAAGGTTCGATTTTATAAAACTAAATCGCCTCACCTAAACACAAAAGCAAAGAACAAACGAACTGCGAACTGAAATACTGATTATATTGGAGCAAAGTTTGCCACAAAGTGGGGCAAACTTTGGGACACGTTAAATGAGAGAACGAAAAATGTATACTTTGAAGGGGGGACAAAATAGATCAAATCGTGCGCTGTCAGCTTCCCTTTGAAACACGCGCGCTGTCACTTGTATATCTTTCTCTCGCTCTTCTTCGCCTGCTTCGTTTGCTTTGCTCGTGCTCACGCTCTAGCGCTCGCTTATTAATCACAAATATCACGATTAGAGTTTTCTTCCTTAATCTGAGAGAAAATTCTTGTATGCTTGATTCGACTTAAATGTAAATAGTTTTATGTAAAAAAAAAACAAAAAAAAAATGAACATGACTAAATAACATAGTAAAAATAAAAACAAATGACTATGACTTTGTGTTTGTTTGTATTCGGAATTCGATAAGACAAAAAAATAAAAATAGGGCTTTTAAAAAATTGACACAAAAAAACACTACAGTTAAGATCACACTTACAATCAAAATAAATGATGAAATTCGCTCTCGCATTTTCGTTTTTCGAAATCAAAAACAAAACATTATCGTCGTTAATATCTTCAAAATAGAAGCTTGCTTACTCTTGCTCTCTCAGAAGCCGAGGTTTGTGTATGTGTGTGTGTGTGTATGTTGTTTGTGTATCATTTTGTAGGTTATACATACAGATATAGCCTATAATATGTAGTAATCGAGGCGCTCCACGCTTTAATTTATTTTTTTCGAATAGACACACACGCTTACTAGATCGGAGCGCAGCGTCAGAAGCTGAATCGCTTCGCCCGTCGCGCTCGCGCTTTGTTTGCAATTACTTAGTAAATCCTACTAGTCCTAGCTAATAATAGTAATAATAATAATAAAAAAAAAAAAAAACTGATTAACAATTATTATCCGTTACATTTGTACACGATCGGTTTTCCTTTCTGTATCCTGCGAGCTGCGCAAGGCCGAGCAAAGCTAAACTACTTTTCAGAGCCGAGAGAAATACGCGGTTGTTGTTGCTGTTTTGATCTCCGAGAAGCTGTCAAAAACTGATGATGCATAATGTGAAAGTGTGTATCAATCCAAAAGGTTCCTACTGTTTATTTATTTTTTTACTTTTCCAGATATTTTATTGTGTAAATGTTCTGTTTTGTATTGTTTACCGCTGCTGCTGTGGATATGAACGAGATTAAATCCTTAACAGTCTACAAAGATTTGTATAGTTTTTTTTTTGTTCTGAATATATGTATGTATCGGTACACATATACAAACATTTAGCATTGTTTTTTTTTTTTTGTTGCTGTAAGGTTTTTAGTCCTCTTTTTATTTTAACATTACTTGATCACGTTGTGCTTGTCTCTTCCGCTAGTACTACTAATACAAGGGAAATTAAAAACAGATTTCGGCTGGAGCGGTGGACCGTCCCTTGCGCGATTGTGTTGAGAAAAAATCCCGAGGGACGGCACCAAACTCCACAAAAATTGTCAAAACGAAACCAAAAAATAGTTTTTTTTTTGTGGATTTTTTTTTTATGTTTATATGATATTTTGTTTATGATTTTTTTTTTTACTATTTTTTGTTTGCTTTCCTCGTTTTGTTTTGATAAGTATACGAAAAACTACTATTACATACATACAGTATTTTTACGTTTCCTTTGTTTTTGTTTTGCAATAGTTTGTGTTGTATTTCAATATATTTTTTTTTTTCGTTTTCCTTCGCGGTCCGCGTTCAATCGACGCCGGCAGCCGCGCTACAAATTCTGGGATATGGATTTCGCTTCCGCTTTCTTAAGTTCATTAGATTAGTGTTATTTATTGGTTCAACTAAGATCGTATCACATTTCTTGAGAAATTTTGTAGAACGAGATGTTTTCATTTGCTCTCTCCATCGGGCGTCCGCTTTTCGACGCTTGCTGTACAGCTGTCACGTTTTGCTCGCGGCCAGGCACACGCACACAAACGAATGCACGGTGCCGTCGCGTGATCGCAAAAAGCGAAACGACAAAGCAAGCGATGGCCGATGGAGGAGAAAAAAAAAAGATGTCGCTGTCAAAGTCTACGCGAACAAATTGTTATCGTTATTATATTTTTTGCTTTTTCTTATTTGTTTTTTTTTTCATGAAAGATTCGGAACGAGTTGTAATGTCTAATGTGTGGGATTCGATCGATAGGAAAGTAAAATTGACTCGCGTTTGGTTTGCATTATGTTATCTGTTTTCCTAGTACGGATTTCTAAAAAGGAAAAGCAATCGTAGACTTGTGGTTTTTGTTTGTTTGTTGATCTCGTTAAGGTTGGTTTGTTTTGTTTTTTGTGGGCTGTTTGTTGTTTAAAAATTTGTTTTGTTTTGTAATTATTTATTTTAAATTTGAAAATCCTAGTTGTTTTTATAGTTATTTTGTTTTTTTTTACGATATATATTTAATAAATATAGAAAAACACACACACAATATTTTTTTGTATCAAACATTTCACTTTCCAGTTTTTTTTTTTTACGGTAATAATAATTTCGCTTTCTTCAGTTTTAAATATAAATTTTGCCCTTACATCCTAATCACGTTTTAATCCATTCTTTTATCATTTATTGTTTCAAATTTCCGCGGGTGTTTATGTGTCTACTTTCAAATTCAGATTTCCAACGAAGGTTAAAACCGAAAAAGTGAAAATCAAAAACCATCGGAAAGCGATTGGCCGCAAACGGCCGCCCTCGGAGCGCGACTACGATCCCAAGCGCTCGCAAACAGGTTTTAGGAAGAACACTTCACGCTTCACTGTTTACCGATGCGATCGAAAAGAAGAAAAGAAAGGTGGGTGAGTTCTTCAGCTGATCAAGTTTACTTTAGTGGATTTTTGTTTTTGCAAAACAGTCCAACAGACTGATTGTTCCTAAGCCCTGGCGGACGTGGGATCACTGTCATGCTACGGGGGCTATTCGAAAGGGCTTATCCGATTTCCGGTCAAATGTTTTTTTTTTAACTGTTTCAATGCGGTATCAACAAAGGTCCGGAAAATTTCGAGAGCAATTGTGTTGTTGATTTGTTTTAGCCACGATCTATACGATTATGATTAATGATTTGTTGATAACTACTACAGACACATATCGATATCTATGTTTTGCTTTGTTTAATATATTGTTATTGTTTCGCTGAAACAAACAATGACAGTTGCAATAGTAATAATAAAAGATCAGTTTCTGTTTTACTTTGTTTGCGTGTGCAAGTGTGAAAACCGTTTCGCGTCTATTTGGTTGTGTGTGTGTGTGTGTTTATTTTTGCTTTACGACCATACAGTAGGAAAGGAGGGTTTTTTTGATAATTGATATACGAGTTCTAATTTGATATATTGAATGCGCATAAGTGAGTGAGTATGAGTGGTTTTGTTTTCTCGCGGCGCTCTCTAGCTTCTTTGTTATGCTGTGAATAAAAAAAACGGAGCACTTCAGAAAAACGAATTCTCTCTGGTTCCCTCGGAGATCAGTGATTGCGAAAATCGAAAAGCTGTTGGTTCCTATTGATTAAACTTTGCTTGTGTCGCGGATAATTTATTATTACTACTACTCGATTATTTTTAACTCTGAGATCAACTTATCGAAGTTTGCAGAAGAAAAAAGAAAAAAGGTCGGCCCCTAAAGTTCCTGTTTTGTTGTGGATTCTAGCATTCTATATCGTTAAAAAACAAACTAAAACAAAAGAGTTGCATCCCTAATTAGCGCAAATATCACAAATGATAAACAAGTTGTATTCGTCTTTCGCTTCTTCCTCTTCACCTTCTTCGACGTTCCTATCATCTAATAATCGTTAATGGATAATAGATACACAGAGACAAAAAACGAGACACGGAAAAAATCTTCCCTTCGAAAAATATGCTTCCTGCTTCCTTCATCCTTAGCCTTTAAACTGCCTTAAAAAGATTAACTCACAAATGCTTTATCGGTTTGCTTCGTTTTTTTTTCTCCCAACCCCCCACTCGACCCTGCGTCTCCCCGCGCGCACGTTCTATTTTTCCTTCGTTTGTTTTGATTTTGACGTTTCTTGCAAATTTTGAAAAGAAATTTTGCTTCGTAGGAACATTCTGCACCAAATTCTTGTTTTCCAAATATAGTATCCAATCGAATCGGGAGAGTTCTAAAAAAAAAAGTGGTTCACCGAAAAGATGACAACTCCATCAATTCGGGATTCAATTTGAAAAAAAAAAATAAAATCCTAGAGCCAAACCAAATTAAAAAAAAAAAAGTTAGAAGGTTGCCATTTGCTTGCACCTCGATCACGGTGTAAACTTCTATTGATTGATTGCTTCCCTTCACATTCGAGGCGAGAGAAAAACTTAACATGCCACGCCAAGCACCCCCCGTAAATACAAAAGGGCGAACTGCCCTTTCAGGGGGCGCTTTGCGGGGCGCAATTTGAAAATCACTAGGAAATCATCACAAAATCGTTTCAATTAGAAAAAAAAAATCATACCTACACTTGTGTTTGCTTGCATATGTGTAAGACGACGACGACTACTACGATTTGTTTTTGTGTGTAATTATGTTCAGCATTGTATTCGTTCAAGGCTTCCTTTACTCTTTTTTTTTTTGTTTTTGTACGCTCAACACCGACAACGAAACGAAAAGATTCTAATCGATGTTCTGACTGTCCGTCCAACTGTACACATTTTTTGTCCTGCTGATTTTTTGTTTTGTTTGTTTACATTTCCTTAACTCAAAACTTTCACAATGGCGACGAATTTGTTGTATCTTTGTAACATTTTTTTTTTGTTTTTCACGATGTTGGCTATACACAAAAAATTAAAAAAGATGAGAGAGATTTCATTTTTTTTTTCGCTGGCTACATTTATACTTGTTTTGCTTTGTTAGCGTCATCTACACATAAACGATCACTTGGTTTGTGTTTGTTTGTTTTTTGTTGTTAATTTGTATCGCCACCGGCCACAATTTTAAATATTTATAAAATACTTAAAAAATTAGAGCGTTTGTGTCGCAGCCCAGCGTAGCCCAACTTCGGGACCTCCCCCGTATGTTCGCTGGAATCGTGCGATCCCAAATCCGGGGTGGTTGACTTTCGCTTGTTTGTTTCTCACAGATAGATTTTGTTTTGCGGTTGGAAAGAGTTGGAAAATTCGTTCCTACCTTTTTGTAGTGAGCCCCCCGTCAGTCAGCCGGGGGGGCACGCGTGCAGTTGGTCAAAGAAGCGGCGACGGTGACTTAGTCCGAGTAGGCGTGATAGAGCTTGTTCTTGGTCAGTGCAAACTCCGGACTGATCATAATTGTACTGCCACGAGCCAAATTTCTGCGAAAGAGGAGAAAACATAGAGGAAAACATCGAAATTAGGTCAAATGTCAAATGAGGCGTTCGGTTGCAGGGGGGAAGGCAAGAAGTCGAGGGCAGATACTCACTTGAGAAACTGTGGCAGGATCGAGGTCCAGCCGCTTCTGTCTTGCCGAAGAGTGAGATACAATTCGAAGGTGGATACTGTCGTGGGATCGGTTTTCATGGTGGCGATCCGTCTGTCGAAAGAAAAGATAGAAAATTCGGTTTTAGATTAGATTGCTGTCAAAATGTTGTGCCCGCAAAGAAAAAGGCACTCCCGTCGAGCAGCGAAACCTACCTGCTATTGTCCGGCTCGTCCTCGAACTCGATGTAGACCGTGCAGCCACGGATGCCGCACGGTTCCTTCTCGGACAGTTCGAACATCTGCGAAGCTATCCGGGGCAGCAGGTCGGCCGGGAGTAATACTTCGGTACATGCTAAATGCCGCCGTTTGGCAGTGCGCAGTTCCGACTCGAGCCGGGCGGACAGTGCTTGCAGGGCATCCTCATGGGGTGACGCGGTGAGGGCTATCGTCGCCGGCTCCAGCGGCTGACTGTTCTCCTGCGACGCCTGATGGTGGTGATGGTGGTGGTGGTGATGGTGATTTCGCTGGCTGACCGGCTGACTGCCCGCCAGCTGCTGCTGCTGCTGTGACTGATGATGGCGTTGGTTGGCGTTCTTATTACTATTTGCCGGTATCGGCATCAACGGTGTACGGAAATCTACATCCGGAGAAAAAACACGAAAAACTTCATTAGAACCCGCATCTACCACAAAACCATACATTCCGGTACGAATCACTGTCACAATCAATCCGGATTCCCTTGTAGCGGAACCGGTGCGAGCAAATTTTCAAGGCCTCACGGAACCCGCCTGCGGGATCGATTTTTCACCGAAGAAAACACACTCACTCGCAGAAACCGGCTGATGTGGGCCAGCAGCAGTCTTGGAAAAATAATCGATTTCTGCCCGTTCCCGTTGTTGCACGATGAGCAGCGAGCGAACGAGGTGCACCCGCAGAAGCGCACACTGAGCGAGAGAGAATGAGCACAAGGGAGAGCCACCGCGATCAGCTGGTGGTAAGTGCTAGGAAAATCCGAAAGGAAAATTCCACGTCAGCCAGAGTTTCCCGGGGACGTTCAAAGGAAAGCGAAAACGGTATCGATTTTCCACAAAAAGATTCCACCATAATGGCCGGTTCGCTCGGGAAAGAAGAGAGAGTCTTCCGCTTTTCCGATAAACCGGGAAGGCAAGCGAGAGCCGGCCTCCGAGGAAAGTGAGAGCACTCAGCGATGAAAAAAAAAACAGCTGTTTTCTCGCTGGAACTTGATTTCAATCGAAAATAAACTAAAACTATTTAAAACTGCAAAATAGAATCTTACTGTAACACATTCGCGACCGCAGGCAACCGACGAGCGAAGCGAGGGATAGTTCCAGCAAAGCCAGTTTAATTTTTTTTTCTGCTTCAATTTCCAGACTAGCTAGGCACACACTTCAACACAACTCAACAGTGCCAATGCAAGTGGGCGAGCGAGCTGGAGAAGCGATGCTATTTGCGTTGTTGCACGGTCAACGATTCGGGAGCGAATGATTGCACCAGCAGCTGGCACCGGGGAGCGAGCCGCTTGCGATCAGCTGTTCGGTTCCGAGCGCTCATATGTTTCACCGATTCCTCTTTCGCATGCTCATTCGCTCGGGTGCTGCACAGGGGTACTGCGAGTGCGGAGCAAAGTGCGTGCGGTAAACGAGCGTAGGAGGCCGTTTGGTTGCTCTCGCTCTTTCTCTCTCTCTCTCTCGTTTGATGTTGAAAATCGCGTAAAGAAAAAATAAAAAACTGAAGGTTGCTGCGAGCTTCGCTCTCTCGCCGCGAGGTGGACGAGAAAGTTCACTTAGCAACAGTGTGAATAAAATTGGATACTTTATTCAAATCAGTTGGTTTGCAAGGCGAGCGAAGCGACAAGCGGGGCAAGTGATGTAACATGAATTCAGCGTTTCGTTACGCGTCGTTCGTTCGGGTTGCTCGCGAGCGAAAGAGAGGGTTGGAAAATGAAGGGGAAAAATCGAGATTGCGGGTGGTGGAAACTGGTCAAACATGGTCCCTTCGAACACGGACGGAGTGTGACAGTGAGTCGTTATGAGGAAGAGATTTTTTGTTCATTCTGTTTTTCGTGAATCGAGATTGGTACTTACCGTTGACTTTGTTTGATCCTAGATAACCCAATTGGCCTGGATATGGGGGAACGGAAATGAGTTCCATTTTCAGAAACTCTTCAACCAGATCGTCGATGGCAGCAAAATTCGCACTCATAAATACAAGGAGCAATTTGCTTCACTGGTGGCTTGCTCGCGATTTGCAACTTTTTTTCTCGCTCTCTTCGGATGCGCTATGCTTGACTTTTTCCTTTTCTCCGATTATTATTTGACTTGTTGTTTTCCACTTTTCTTCCTTTATGCTTCTCTTTTTGTGTAAGCTCTTAACTTTAGCTTATGATTAAAATTTATTATTTGTAATTCACAGCACTTGATTATCACTTTCTTTTTATTAACTTGTAATTTTTAAATATTACTTTTTACTCGTGTTAAATAATCTACTCTTCATTTGTATTTTTTGTGGTTGTTGTTGTTGTTGATGCGGTTTGTTGCTCCAATTGATTTTCAACTTTTTGTATTTGTCGGGCAAAATTTGAAAATCCTAAGCATTACTTTGCGAAGAGGATTGTGTTTCACGTATATCAGTTCCGTACGACAAGCATAACTTGTAAAAAAAATTCTTTGCTCGCTTCCGCAATTTGGCTCGCACTGTTTTCGATATTCATCGATTTTCTTCTCGCGGAATAGTGCCTTTGCTACTGCTGTCGGTTTCTGCTTCTGATGGCTTTTTTCGAACTCAGCTGCGCTTTTTCAGTACTATCACACGAGAATCTCGTTGTTGATTTGCTTCCTCCAGCTTTGTTCTCTTTCACAGACAAAAACTTTGTAACTTTTGGTGACAATTTGTTAAGAGTCTACTAGTTAGTTTAATTACTAAATAATGATAAAATTTACAAAATAACTCAACGTTGTGTGTACTTTGCTCATTTAAAGACGGTGACAAAAAAGCGACTCTCTTGTTCCTTTCGTGACTCTCTTGTTGATTTTCTGTGTAGTAGGTTTCTCTTTCTGTGCTTCTTCTGACTCAAACTGCCAAGTTCAGATAAAACTCTGATTTCTCTCTTCTGCGCTTTTTGCTTCTCTTCATGTACGATGTTACTTGATCAATTGAAAGAACCTAACTAACCCGGCCGGCAGCCGGATCCTCTATTTATAACCATTCAAACCATATCGGGTTCGGCTCTCGGGCCCATCACTTCGGTACCTGCCTTCTAGCAGCACTTGAACCTAAAACTGAGTACGTGACTTCACAACAGTCCGCCTCGGCTCACCCGAAGTGCACGATTTCCTTCGGCTCGGCTTCAATTCACTCGCACTGCTTCACACGTTGACCGTTTTCCTTGTTCTCTCATTCGGCTTCAGTTCGGCACCGGTATTATGCCGGTTGCCGGTGCGTTCGGCTTCCATCCAATCACACACACACACTTACCCTTCTTCTTCGCTACCAATCCCATTCATCTATCGCTCGTTCGCCCTCTCCCTCTTCTTCGTCCACCATTGACACAGCTGTGAACAAAGAAAACTCCTGAAACACACCATGAATACATAACAAAGAGGTTGTTTTTTTCGTTCGCTTCGTCTCACCTTCGTGCCGCCAGGCCCTCAACGCTCCTGCACCGACCGTTCTTCGTTTGTATTGGTAACTTCACTAGCCGATCGGTCGCACGCACGTACATAGGAAATTTACATACCCTCCAGCTGCGAACCGGCTATCGGTGTTGGTGCTTAACTCCAGTAGCTGCGTGCTGCTCTACTGCCAGGCCCTCGCCTGTGCTAATGCAGAACCATGGACACAAAGGCGAGTCGAGGGTGGCGATGGAGCAAATTACCCTTTCCCATATAATAACAATAAATACGCTGTAAACACACTCGCACACACACACTCTCCCAATCGCTCCTTCGTGCCCCGTTCGGCTGCCGAGCTCGGCTTTCGGCCCTCGCTGCGATGGGTAGTAATCACATCTTCTTCTCGCTCGTGCTTCAGTGTCGATTCGTGCTTCTTTGTGTGAAAAACTGGTTGTGCATCGCAGCAGCAGCAGCAGTAGCAGCAGTAGTAGCTCGGTTCCTTTTTCCCGTTTCGCTTTTTTTGCTTTTCTTCTCCGGTGTCTTTTTTCGCTTTCTTCGCTTTTTTTCTCGCCTCGATTCAGGAGTTCGGTGGTGTTCGGGCGGTTGTGCGGGGTGGCAAGTGTGTGCGTTTCGTGTGCGCGGCGGTGGTGATGCGGGAGGGGTGGACGTCGATCGGTTGGTCTTCGGGTGGATGAGGGGTCGGAGGGTGGAGAAAATATCAATATTATTTTTTCCACTCTTTTTTTCGGAAAAAAAGGCCCCTCTGCGATCGTCACGGTTTGGGGAGACCTCCGGTTCGCCGGAAAACGATTCGAACCACCCTCGCCACGCCTCGTCCCCGGTACAGTTTTCCTACTTCGAATCCGAACGGGTGTCGGGTTCGATTTTTTTTGTTTCTTCGGTCGATTCGAGTTGTGTGAATTTTTTCGGAAAAGAAAGAACTTCTCAAATTTGATGAGAACAATCAGTGGTGAAGGGCAAGGGAATGGTGATGATAATTCTGGCAAGAAAATTGCATCAGAAAGAAAGCTTAAAGAGTGATGAAATCGGTTTTGAAAGTTTCCCAGTGCTGGTGTTTCACCCTTCGACTGACTGTGGTTCGAGTGATGTGAAAGTTCTGCTGAAAGTGAAAGAAATAACATTCAAGGGTTTTTCTCTGGAGAAGCGCGATTCGCACAAGGTAAATTCGAACCTGCCGGGGTTTTTTTTTTGTTGGGAAATAATATTCATAAAATAAAATGAATATGAATAAAATTTAAAAAATCTCCTCGACCAACCTTAAACGAGTGAGAATCGGGGAAAAAGAGAGATGATGAAAGATTGCTTGAAGCGAAACTCTAGCTGCAACCGCTGAACACGTCCGGACGTGTTTAGCAAGGAGTTCTTCGCGCATTTGATATTTCCGGAAACTTCTGGAAAAAGTGATGCAATTTCATTGAGAGCGATGCCGGAGTGATTGAAGCCGTTCGGATCTTGGAAAGAAATGTGAAACTGTTGATCGGTTGACATTTTTTCTGATCCAGTAATTTTATGAGTTTTAAAAATGTCCATATCATATTAAAAAAAAATCTGCATTGAAGTTTCTCGTATTTTACGGCGCTAGAAATTATTCTCAACTAATTTTAGAGCAATGCAATCGTTGAAGAAAATTGAGATTTGGCAAAATTCTTTTAATCTCCTCCTTTGAGTAAGAAATTCGTGCAATGGTTTAAAATGTTAGGTCACGGCTCAGGGTTGTTAACTTTTCGTGGAGTGCAACATTTAATGACCGTTTTCCAAAAACAGTCATTCCAAAAGAAAATGTGTTTTTAAAGTGATGAGCGGGAGGTGATTCAGAATCCGTAAAATTTGTTCGGCACTTAAATCCAGCAAATCCGTAGAATGTTCTGCTCGGTTCGTAGATCCGTAATAAATCTAAAAACATCGGAATTGGAACCGGTGTTATTTTTCGGTGTAGATAGAAAGCAAATCGCTCTAACCTTTTTTTTCAACTACGAAGGCTCAATCAGGCAAAATTTACGAGGTCAGCGGTCATGATTGACATTGTTTCAAGATAAGGCTGCTACCTTTGGGTATATTCGGCGTTTCGGTGTGACTGAGAGAACCAATTGGCGTTGACGAGTGTGTTGGCTTTTGTTTGTGGTTTTAGGTGAGAAGGGGAAGTGAGAAACACCGTTGTAGTAACGATAGTGCACCGGCTCAAAAACAGTCGTCAACACCAGCAGTTAGGCAGAAAACGAATATATCCACACAGGGTCGAAAGTGTTAAATGAAAATCTCATCAGCTCGATTCAGTGGTAGTGTTACATGAGTGAAGACAATTTTACTGCAAGGATGACTGTAGTGATACTTAGCAAGACGACGTAAAATATGCTTTTAGGAACAAGTTTGTATGTTTGAAATAATGATGACCTAAACAAGTTGTTGCATTTCCATACAAATCAAAAACTGGAGTGACGAATAACAATTTTGATATTTTTTTTTCATTAAATTCCAAATCTCTATAGTAAAGTAAAAAAAAAATCAGAGTTCCAATCTTGGTTTTGAATTTGATATCCTCCAAAACCCATGGCTGGTAGCAGGTCACCATTTTCAAGTCAGTCAATAAAAAGTCACTTTTTTCACCTAAAAGTTACTTAGCTCACTATTTCTTAAAATAATATCAATAGTAAATAATTTGACTTTGAAAAATCACATTAAGTAACAGCTTGATTTGGTAACAAATTTTTGTTAAAAAGATTCATTGTTAATCAGCGTGTAAAGTCCGACAAAGAAGAGCTGTGAACAGGCCAGAACTGTCCAATTGGTGTTGATGGAATCACTAATATATTTTTTTTGAGTTCACACATTCAGGTCCGTTATCTTCGATTTTTCTCCAGGCAAGATTATAAAATTTCCAAGTTATTCATTTGCCTTGTTAACTCGAAATAGTCAAAGAAAAATTTATCGCGAATTTCTGAGGTTTCGATAAAGAAAAATCTGATTCCAACAATCCTGGCTTCTTCACTTCGGGATCTTGGAAGCTTTCCAAGTTTTAGATGTTTAGAAAAATGGTCTAGGAAAATTTACTTGCGCTAGCCATGTTTTCAATGACTATAATTTTGAGAAATCTTTGAAGCTCGGTAGCTTTAATATTCGGCCAAACATGTCCAAGACCATATTTTAGAAAAAAATATCCATGTCCAAGATCATAAAATGATATTTACGTTTCAGAAGGATTTGCATTTTTAAAGGACTGTTAACTTACAATCCATATATTCAAAATTTGAAAATTATTCCGGACCGCACAAGTTTCTTAACTTGTTTGGCTTCTTCTTCTTCTTATTCGCATTTCAAGCTTATAGCTTAGTGCATATTAGCTTATTGCGTGCTCTCAACTTAGTGTTCTAAATGCACTTCCACAGTTATTAATTGAGAGCTTTCGATGCCAATACCAATGCATGAATTTGTATATTGTGTGGCAAGCACAATGATACTCTATGCCCAGGGAAGTCGAGAAAATTTAAAACCCGAAAGTATCCCTCGACCGGACCGGGAATCAAATCCGCCGCCACCGGCTTGGTAATACCGTGCCTTTACTGACTAGGCTATGAGGCCCCTCTAACTTGTTTGGCTTAGAGACTTCGAATGCTTAAGTCCCAGCGTTGCAAAATTGGTCCAAAATCTCTTAAATCTATCACGCATGCAAAATATTCTACACGGCAAATAAATCCAACTCATATGTGAGTCCCGTTCTCTAAAATTCGCATTTAAGTAAATTTTTACTCAAATATGAGCAAAGACCACTCATATTTGAATGAGATTTTTTTTTTTATATAGTATATGAGTGACATTTACGCATCTTTGAGTGAAAATTTACGCATGAACTACGTATGTTGCGAATTTAAGTGAACTTCACTCAAATATGAGCCAGATTAATTTGCCGTGTGCATTCACGATCTTTCCATCTTGGAAAATTTTCCTCGTTCCAGAATAATGAGATTTTTTCTTGGACCGCTATCTAGAAAACTTGTGTAGGAGAGGGGGCGACCCCGGCGTAGTGGTTAACATCCATACCTCTCACGCCAAAGTCACGAGTTCAAATCTCACCCCAGACAAGTCACGAATGACCCAAGAGTGTTAAAGTGAATATAATAAAAAAAAAAAAAAAAAAAAAACTTGTGTAGGTCCTAGAGCTGTGAAAATTTGAGGTGTTTCAAAGGTTTGACTGTCTTAAAAGTGTCAACATTTGTCTGGTTATAATTATTTGATTACCTAATAAGACATAACGATGATGCAAATAATATTTTCATTTTCTGTCCCACGTCACTCAAATAGGTTGATGAGGGGCAAATATTACATAACAGAAAACAAATAAATTTGTGTATAAGCAACTCATTTAATAGTAAGTTCATAAATTAATGCATATTTGAGTAAAATTATTCGTGACCAACGGTTTTTGCGAATTAAAGTGAACTTGACTCAAATTTGAGCCAGATTAATTTGCCGTGTGCATTCACGATCTTTCCATCTTGGGAAATTTTCCTCGTTCCAGAATAATGAGATTTTTTCTTGAGCCGCTATCT